TGTCATGGTAAGCGTAACAAGGCTAGAGGCGCTGCATGCCGATGGGTAGGTGGAGCAGGCACTTCCGATGCTGGTCCAGTTGGCTTGGGAGGCTGCTCTGGCGCAGGATGTTCAGGTGCCGGAGGTTGCTCAGGTACCGGAGGATGTTCGGGCACTGGAGGCTGTTCGGGCACAGGCGGCTGCTCTGGCGCCGGAGGATGTTCGGGCACTGGAGGATGTTCGGGCACTGGAGGATGTTCGGGCACTGGAGGATGTTCGGGCACTGGAGGATGTTCGGGCACTGGAGGATGTTCGGGCACAGGAGGCTGCTCTGGTGCCGGAGGATGTTCGGGAGCAGGAGGTTGCTCTGGTGCTGGCGGTTGCTCTGGTGCTGGCGGTTGCTCTGGTGCTGGCGGTTGCTCTGGTGCTGGCGGTTGCTCTGATGCTGGCGGTTGCTCTGGCTTCGGGGGTTGCGCAGTCTCTTCAGGTTTGTCGGGCTGAGTTGGCGCTGGTCCGGTTGGATAAGGAGGCTGCTCACTAGTGGGAACCTCTGGAGGAGGAGCAGGCTTGGTCTCTGTTTCTGCAGGAGGGCTAGCAGCAGATGGAGCAGGACCGCTACCGGATCCGCAAGAACCAGCAGAGCCAAATGATATCTCGACACACTTCTCTTGGCCGGGAGCAGGTTTGGTGTAGACATTGTACTCACCCTCGTCATTGACGGGGCAAGCATAAAAGGTACCGTCTCCGTTGTATGTGATGACGCCATCGGGACCCATGGCAAAGCCGTCTGTGGGTGTAGCACCGACGTCACACTGGAACTGGGTTGTAGGAGGTGTCAAGATGCAACCTCTTCCGTTGGAATCGGTGAAGCCGCCATCGCTGTCTAGACAGTAACATCCGGTAGGGAGGCCGCTACCACCGACACGATTCTGACCGTCGTCAAGTTGGCCAAGGATTCCCGATGGACCACCGGAAGACTCGATTTGGAAGCATTGTGAAGTGTGCCGAATAACGAGAGCGTCAGCGCCAATACCAAACGCTGCGAAAAAAGAGATAGCAAATCTCATCTTAAATGAAAGGACGATGTCGAGATAAGATAGAAGGTATCCCATTCTTTAGAACGGCAAGCTGAGGCTTTAATGTACCTCCCACAAGGTTGGTGTACTGCGAAATTGGTCACGCCTGTTGTTCAGTAACTCAAGCCGCTACAACAGTGTGCATGTTGAGCTGCAAGCGAGTATCGGCCAAGTATTCTTTCATCATATGAGTAAAAATGATATCAGAACATGCAAGTTTGCGGAGTGCAATTACTCGTACCCCAGACGGCAGTAACTCCAATGGGCCTGCGTTCGCCTGTCTTGACCCTGTAGACGATGATGTTGACGGTGGAAATCATGGTGCTCTCAAGTAACAGCGAATGTTACCATTGGCAGCCGATAAAGAAAAGACCATAATAAGAAGGTTCCTAGTGACCAACAGCTCTGATATGTGGGGCACGATCGACAGGAACGCATTGCGCGAACGTTTCAGTGATGCATTGGTATTTTGACGGCTGTGTATCATCGTGGTTACGACCAGGATACTGTACAGGAGTTGTTCCTAAAGCCAAAGATCGATTCTTACATAATGAGGCTACGATTCGGGGCTGCAGCTCGTCACGAAGGAATTTTGGGGGGCAATGTAGATGACGATGATGTAGATGATGACTTTGGATGTAAAATGGCGACGAGAGGCGAACAGCTAAGGCCCCCGACTTAGTGACAAGAGCATTGCTAAGGCAGCTAGCTAGGTAAGGCTGCGTGTAGGGTGATTAAATTAGCTTTTCTTCGGCAGAAACAGGCCAAGAAGAATTTATGGGACAAACCGTTGACCAAAATTGATCCTTGCCATGTGAAAGTCATCGAGCATTCGCAACCGATGGTCCTACCAATGTTGAAGACAGCGACCGCATATTAAGACCTGAAGACTGATGACCGACAGGGTTCAAGTCTTCATGATTGAGTAGATCGATAACAGAAGAACAGAGGAAGAAATTTCAGTGTCCCCCCCCGCGTCCCTTCTGTCCAGCCTGCTGTGTCGGAACCCATCGGCGGTTGTATCTGTTATTAGCCCGGTAAAGATGCAACTATACCTCAGTATTATTGCTAGTACGCATATATTCGATATGATGCATAAATTACGCGTCACTTTGACTAGATCGAATCAAGGACATCAACCGGATGGCCGTTCTGCATGCATTCTATTAGAAGAGAACTATCCACGTCTGAACAAGGTAGTTGAAGTACCAGGAGTAGTGCAATGGCCCGGTTGCTCAAAACAAGCGGTTTGTGAGATGGAATGATATGTACTTGAGTTGACCCGTAATCATTTCGTGCCGTTCGCTATTGAAATGGGTTAGGCGAGTTAGTGACAAAGGTTCGCAATCGTATCCATCTCCGATCCATCCTAGTCTCATCATCTGTCGTTCCAGACATTCAGATCGACAATGCGGTCCCAGATTTCGGGCGGTGGTTAGCTGCAGCAAACATGTGCGCGGGGGGATGTTGGGGTGAGGTCTG